CCAATAAAACTTTACTTCTGACTAACTCAGAGAGATTTGTGGTGCTTGTTTCGCACAGGCAGAAACCAAAATGGTGCCCATTGGGAGATGTAAGAGTTGAATGTAACATGAGCTTCTAGGATTGAGAACAGTTCATTGATTTAACAGGCCATCACTCAAGATTATAAAAAATGGCAGCAGCTGACGAGCAGAGAACATAGCAATCCAGGACAAAATGGCTGCCCAGGGTAGGGAATGAGACAAGGGAGTGAGAGTGCCAGGCATGGCAGCCAATTGGAGCTCCAATGCAAAGCATTGGAGACCATTTGCTCTGAAGGGATTAACACAGCTACAGTTGTTAGATTTTAATCCAAGCTGGGAAACAGAGGTGCTGGGTGCATTTGCAATGATCTGGGAGTGGGGGAAGGATGGTGTCATCCATTCCTGCATTCAGGAAGTGGTGAGTGGCCTGTTTTGATGATGAGCCAACACAAAGTGGGTATTGATGACGAGCCAAACACAAAGCCAGCCATTGGAATTCTGGGAGCTGAAGTTGACACTTCTTAAAGTTTACAAGGTTGAGAAACACTGCCATAGAGCATACTCGAGCAGCAACCTGTGCAGTTTTCAGAGGGAATATGGAAGTTTAGGGTCAGGCTCCTTTACCCAAACCACCGTTCTGTTTCAAGCAAAGAAATGGCTTACTTTAGCTACTGTCCTTAGATCACACATAAGTGGCAAGCTGTTTCTGCTGAAGCACTAACCTTTCTTTAGTGGTGGGGTGGTGGTAACTGCTTTTGCTATCATTGCTGTGCTATTGTTCTTGAGATCCACTAGCTACTGTGTCCAGCAGCTTCCCCTTTTTGTTTCAGAAAAAGAAAGATTTCATTTCTGACATGTTAAATTCCCATCCTTTCTTCTTATTTATTCTGCCCGATCCCAGCACTCAGTGTTCATACTGAAGGTAGATTTGGCTGTTAAAGGCAATGCTGATTTCATAATGTGGGAAACCACTTCCCTTGTACCTAGGAGAGATGAAACGTGCATCATCACCCTGCATTTCAATTACAGGCACAGAACTTGTCATTTTTTAAGATAGGAATTTTCAATAATTCGTTTGTTTTACATAACTGAATATCATATTGTACATCATTTTAAAAACCGCAGGTGTTTGTTAAAATCCAGAGAGTGCATAAATATCAATGGCAATAATCAGCAGAATTTAAATCATAAGGTAAGATAAAGAATTACAGAATTACTATCCAAAAAGCAAACAGTCCATCCTTATTTAACAGACCACTGAAAGTTAAAATATTAAAACTTTGTGTTAAGAGAAACCCACATTTCAGATGTGATACAAGCCCATATATGGAATTCTGAAGTAAACTGTGCCAGATTTACTTTTGAAATATGATGTTATTTTGGACATGGAAGTATACTCCTACAACTCAATTGGTCATTCTTCTGCAGAAGAAATTGAATGCACTTTCCACTGAGAAGCATCAAGAATCCTTGCAGGAGTTACCATGCAAAAAACCAGTTCACTATATTTTGTGGGAGAACTTGCCAATTTTAATTTAATTAACCAACAATTGCTTGTTTGTTTGCCTTCTTATTTTGAATATTTTGACTCCCTTTTCATCAGTGATTGAAAGACAATTTAGGGAAGTATTAAAACAAACCTTCAGAGAAAAATAAATATTTGCACAAAAACAGCCCATAAAAGCATATTTAAAAGTTTTAAAACCACAAACTGGGATACTGTTGGAGCTTGCTAGCAACAGGCCACAAGGGTAGACATGAGAAAGATCAACAACAGTTTTATGTCATCCTAATATTTTTAATCTTCATGGTATCACAAGAATCTCTGGTGTTTTTGTAGCAAGGGGCTAGAAAGGAAAGGGGCATTAGCTAGATACTCCTCCAGAGGAGAAATGGGAAAAGTCTTGTTTCACACAGGTGGACCATTCAAAGAAATGAAAACTACAGCTAAGAGAGTTATTCAAGTCTATTTGGATTCATCAGGGCAAGTTATGGTTGGAATGGTAATTGTGATGTTGTTGCTGGAAGTTTTCCTGCTGACAGGGAGTCCGGCCACTGAAACACAAACTAAACAAAGTCGCTGACAGACTGGTAGATGGTGAAGTTACAATCCAATATCAGCTGATAACACTGCTGTCATTCAAAAATCCAACTGCGGTTCTTGTATGCACCTGCTAGAAAGTAAGTCCCACTGCTCATAGTGAGCCTTACCTCTGGTAACCCTGTGCATAACTGCATTAAGCATCAAAAGTAGGCCGTGTTGAATTTCTAATTAATTTCTCTTACAGTGGGGAATGTTAAAAATCTGGGGGGGAAAGCCTACTTGATCTTTAAAAACAACTCCTGTTAGGAAATCCGATTATTAAGCTGGTCCACGTTAGAGAAAGAAATGGATATCCAGTTTGGACAGAGTTACCAGATCTGAGCTATAAAATACTCCAACTCGTCTGGATTTTTCAGCCTAGATTTGGGTATCCTAATTTTGATCAAAGTTAGTTCCATTTGTATTCCGTTAAGGAGAAAACAGAAAGGTTGGGACAGCCCTTCAAGGCTTAATTTTGGGAATTATTCTGTCCCAAGGATATCAGCAGCTTTTAGGAACCACATTTAACTACTGGTCTAATTTGCTTTCCCCTTATAAATACTGGTACTCGGAGAAACATATGTTGAACAGACTGCTAAGGAATATTTAATGAGAATTTAGTTACTGATTTGTAAATGAAAAGTGCAAATGTGGCAGTTGCCATAGATCCATGCAGCTCCTTGTTGGCACAGAGAAAGCTTAAAAATATGCAATTTATTGGCAAGAGAAAAATGGAGAAAAGAATAAAATATTATGATGTATAAAGCTAGTGTGGATTTTAATGTAAATTGTATGAGCAGAAATGAAATACTTTCAGAATACATTTATAGATGCTTTCTGAATACATTCGGGGAGGCTGGGATTAATGCAGATCCTGTAGTCATACCATAAATTTACAGCAAAATGAATGCCTATAGGCAATTCTGGATTTTTTTTTCCTTTGTTGCCTAGAACAAATTTGTTTATTTTGTATGAGCTCCACATATGCAAGCCAGGAGTGAGGAAAAATCTCTTTACTGGCACTTCTTTTTGTGTGACATTTATATACAGGGGAAACAGAGGTGCCCTTTGTCTAATTGTCAAGGAACACCCCTTGTGCTCTGATGCTTAGCAAGCAGAAAATGAACAAGGGGAATGAATGGGCCACTAATTAAATGGTAGCCCTTCTTAAGTAAGGAAATGCTGATAGATCAGGTGGGGGTGCTTTATTAATTTAGCCAACATAAATACGATAGCAGGTCTTCAAATATGATGCTAATTGTTTTGTGCTGGTCAGGAAAAAGTTAACATGTATTTACCTATTTAATCAATTTGTATAGCTGCCCATCTCAACAAGTGATTCTGGGCAGTGAACAATATTAAAATAAAATAAAAAACAATGTACAATCACAAATACAAAAATTAAAATACATAGCAGCCAAGGAAGGTATCCCAGTCGACAGTTGCTAATGCAGCCAGGAGACAGACCCCTTCGCACACTCGAGGCCCCAGGCCTGGGCACAGAACTGGGTCTTCAGGGCCTTACGAAAGGCCAGCAGGGTCAGGGCCAGCCACAGCGTGGGCACTACAGCAGAAAAAGCATACCTTCTGAGCCCCACCAACCAGCATTTCTTAGCTGACCGGACCCAGAGCACACCCATCCTGCCAGACTGGATCAGACGGGTAGAAACAACTGGGGAGAGATGGTCCCTCAAGTAACCCAGCACCTTGAATGGCACCTGGTAGCCCACTGGCAACCAGTGCAGCTCACAGAGTAATAGTGTTACAGGCACCAAGTAACTGTTGCCATTTACTACCCATGCTGTTACTTTCTGCACCATGGAAGCTTCAGGATGCTCCAAGGGCAGCCCCACGTAGAGCACATTGCAGTAGTCCAGATGGGAGGTCACAGAGGCATGAGTGACCGCGAGCAGGGCTTCCCGGTCCAGGAACAGGTGCAAGGGACACACAACCCAAAGGCGTGCAAAGGCCCTCTTAGCCACAGCTGCCACCTGCTCTTCAATCATGAGACCAGGAGGACCCCCAGATTGCGCGGCAGGTCTGTCTGGGGAAGTGCAACCCCATCCAGAACCAAAGGTGGAACATCCCTGGCACCAGAAGGTCCAAACACCCAAAGCCACTCAGTCTTTCTTGGGTTCAGCCAAAGCCTGTGGCGCCCCATTTGCTTTGATGGGTTGAACAGTATTTTTCATAAGTGATGTGTTTAATGTGGATAGGATGGCACCATGCAATACAATATGCAACACATGCAGAACTAAAAGGATCTGAGCAACTTGATGTCCTTGATATTTTGGTCCTGCCTACTTGGGCAATAGGCCGTAAATATTTGCCCTTTCCTAAATAACAATCCTTTGGGTATCGGGAGATTGTTCGCATATTCCCTGTAGGCTTCCCTTTTCTAGAGAAGCAAGGTTCTCCTTTGGTCGACACGAGGGTTCTATTAATGAGGCCTAAAACCATATTCATCTCTTTTGCAGCAGAGCTATATTATACTGCTGACTCAAGATAGTAAGAGACAAACTATAAGCCAGACAGCCTTTTCTCACATAGCACTTCTAAGCTAGATCTCCTTAATCTTTTTCTCCCCTTAATGCAGAGTTTTGAGAGTGGCAAACCCCTGAAAAACTTAATTGGGTGCATGCAAAGTCTCTGAATGGAACTCAGGGTACACACAAAGAATAAGAAAGAGAGAGATTTATTGAATTAGGCTATTCAACTTGGGGAAATAAATTCATTGCCGTTTAAGGACAGACCACTAAGAATTCTCCACTGCCCATGTGGATCACGTTATCCTTTATTTGTTAAATTGGAGGGAGGTGTTCATTTTTCCTCCTTCCTACATGGAAATGATGTCCTGTGATGCAAATAAAATGTGCCTGCTTACAGACTAGCATAATAATTCAGATTCTAAGTCACATGTACCATCTCTGATCTTGTGTCTTAGATACAACTATGGTACACAGTTCTACCTCCTCTATGCCTTATTTCCAACTATGGCTTGGCCCAGTTTCAGATATGTATAGAAAAAGGGATGGGGCCCGGAGGGAGAGGATTCAAGTGAAAACAGAAATGATGGTCCAGAGAACTTTTAGGAAAAGCAGACTTATGGAAGGCTGATTTAAGCATAATTTTTAAAAGTCAGACACATCTACACCCTTACAGATCCTGACACTTGACAATCCAGGGCAGAAAAGTAGTAGAGGAAGAAACTCATGAAAATATATGCCAATTTCCATTATGATATTCATACTACAGATAAATAAATGACAAAGATAATCAGGTACTTTGAAACCAGCATCCCAACACAACCTAGATGCTTATAGGCAGATCCTAAATAAGTTTACATAAAGGTGATGGAGTATTCTTCCAAGATAGTCTTCAAATAATTATATTCATCCAAATGGCATATTTCTTTATTTTATTTATATGACACATTTATATAGCCGCCCATCTCACACCAAGTGACTCTGGGTGGCATACCACAATTAAATAAAATAACAAATGGATAAAAACAATCATTATAAAAAGATAAAAAGTGATTATAAAATGAAATTATCAAAAATTTTAAATATGTCTGGACTTGCAACTTGTGCCCACTGGCATTAAAAGGTAACATGAAATATCCCCAAAGGCTGATAGTTCCCTCTACCCAGCCAACAGGAGAGCTCCAACAACAGAGGCAGTGAGCATACAACATCCCATGCTTGCTTTGTGAATGGGGGAATAACATCAAAAACCAAACCAGCCATTGTTCTATTGGGGGACCAGCAAAGTCATTTCTCCATTCAGCAGAAAAAGAGATGGAAGCCAAAGCACAGTGGTGGTGGTGGTTTCTTAGAAATGGAAGGCAGGATGAGGCAGCCACAAGTCCCTACCAGTGGGATGATATCCAACCCCAGCTCCAGAACAGCACAGCGTTTCCTCTGCATTGAAGGGTAAGTGGATTTATTTTCAGAGGTAATCAGCTTGGCTTTCACTGACCTCTCAAAGCCCCACAAAGCTTGTGCTGATCTTAGAACAGGGCTGCCCTTTTATATGAAGGGGCCCTCAGTAATGATAAAAGTTCTTTCTTCAGATAATGTATATTTGAAGTGCATTGTAAATATAATTTGTACTGTACTTGAAATGTACTATATTACATAAATCAAGACTAAGCAACCTTTCTCAGCTGAGAACTGTACTGGACTTGGACTTTGAGTAGATATCAGAAATAGCCAAGTCAGAATTAATCAAATTTAAATTAAATTAAAGATACTGTAGTTCACATGATCGGATCTTACACATTTAGTAATCTACATTTCTATAACATTAAAAATTATATTTTGAAGAAAACTTGGGAGGTTTTGGGGGGGTCTCACCCAGGCACTGGAGGATCATACATAGATTTGGGATCTCAGGTTGTATGCTGCTGATATTTTAAAGATTATTACACAAATCTACAGCACACATTTATTTAAATGTGAGCCCCAATAATTTTAGTGGGAATTATTCCTAAGAAAGCATGTAAATATTACTAGCTAAAACAACTTGGGCACCTGACATGTTTTAGAAACAGACACAAATTTAACAGTAAGTAGGAAAATTATTAAGACCACTTTAAAAATGCTTTCAGCTGTAGTCTTTTATATTAAATTGTTCCTGGTAACATATTTTTTAAAATGTCATCCTCTTTCACCCTGTCAAGGCATGGAAAGTGCACTAAAACAGAAGTATGAAAATATTCATATAAAACAATGCAAATGCAGAATATTACTCTCCTTACTTTTTCAGTGCTATTTATTTGTTTATTGTCTGTCCCATAATTCATTAAATACATATTAATGAATATGTATTAATACATATTAAATGAGAGGGTGTTTGCTTTCCATGCACTGTCCTTTTTGAGTGTTTTCTTGAGCAACAATGAAATTATTACAGATTTCTGGGGATGTTTCCAAGTTCTGACTATTGCTACTACAGATGAGCTATTAGATTTGAAAACCTCTATATTCTGTGTGATGTTTGCAGATATTTTCCTGGAGTCGCCCTGTGATTTGCATTGCCTCTTTGAGGAACTCTGCCTCCACACACTTGGATTATCAAGCCAACGCAGACATTTGGGGGTCAACAAAACACCCTTCATACAAAGCACTGAATTAATCTGACCAGTCTGTACCCAAAACCAGTTTAAGAGAGGCAGCAAGAGGCATGTCATACACTCCCAGCTTAGACAAATTCACAGAGGATTCAACTCAACCAAAGCATGTGACCTGCAAACCTGCTTTCTTCTCCCCAGAGTCTTTTTTCCAGTGACAGCCTAAAAATATTTCTATCAATAGGTGGACTTTGCATTGTTTCTTCATTTGAGTATAAATTAAGTTTGGACTGTCATTTCCTCAGTAGGAATTCAACCAGATAACTTTAATGATGGACAACAGAAAATACCAGAGACTTGGTGAACGTTTCACCTTCTTTTACTTAAGCAAGTGAGCAAAACAATTCCACAGCAAGGCAAAGAGATGAGAGCCAAATGCAGCACATGTTCCTCCAAGTTTGAATATCATAACTAGTAAGCCTCACCCACATTGTGGGCCTAATTGGGTGTCCAGCCCAATTAGATATCCACATGGAAACTTAGGCGGGGAGCAGGGAAGTGCTTGGAGGGCTTGATTTGAGTCAGCCACAGCAATAGCAAAGACCTTCCCAAAGTCTTCAGCCACTAGTTTAGATCCTTTTTCCCTTGGGGTTTGGATTGTATGTTTCTTCTTATTTCTCACTGGTAACTTTTACACAAATATCCAACCCCCTAGCTTCTAATTGGTCCTCCTCCTTAGGTTCTTTAGAAGATATTGTTTGTCCAGCCTATGCCATCAGTGGTTTGACTTGCCAGGTCCAGCTGCCTTATTGTTCTAGTTTCTCTGCCTCTGATCTATCATCTATTTTTGTTGGGTAGATCTGGACTGCTCTCGCAACTGCTGTAGTAAACAAGTTATGCACTGCATAGTCGCATAGTTGCATAGTCGCATATTGACATATTGCTTGCTTCTGTCTCTCATCTATCTATCTGCAGTAACAAGGCCTGAACCAAAGAGCCTCCATCTTTTCTCCCACACAATTTATACAGCAAAATTGGCTTGCATGTATCAAAATCCTTGCATCCACAGAAGAGGATGCAATAAAAAGAAAATAATAAAATCAGCTGCAAAACTCCTCACACCATACAGAGTGTAGAGTTTTCACTGCCTGTACTCTTAATTAAGTATAGAGTACAGAAATAGAGCTCCAAGCTACAGAGCTGTTGGAAAACAGTTTGGGATGTAGCTTTTAAGAATTGTAAAGGAATGCAATGTAAAAATAATAATAATTGGCAGTTTATGTGCAGCTATAGTCTCTTGCTCCCTTATTTGCCATAATAAACAATCCCAAAATGCCAGGTTGAAAGCTGTGTTGGTCCCCGCTCATGAACAATTAAAAGTAAGACGGTAGTTACCACATATATATGGTTAAGGGAAATAACTCTACCAAAAGGAATTACCAAATTAATTGGTTCTCTAATCTGAATTTTTCTTTAGCTAGCGTGGGGTCAGGATCCCTCCCTCTCCAGCTCCAGTATTCTTAAAGCCTTTGGTCTTCAATTAACTGCAGCAGGTAAATAGTACAAAAATACATCCAAGGCCAAATCCACCTTAAGTACTTTTCAGTTCCACTGATGCTAGTGAAAAAGTAAACTTTGGCTGTCTTGTGTGCCTAGCATCTTCCCCCTTTAACCTTCTTCGTTAAATAAAACTCTCTAGGTCTTTACCTTCCGGGGGCAGGTGAGCTGCAGACCCATGCCACGAAGCTGCAGGGGTGCTCTTCAGCCATGCCTCCCTCCAACAGCCCCCGTCCATGGCCCAGGGCCTGATCACGGGCGATGGATATTTTTCTGCCTTGACCACACACTTCCTCCTTAACCCTGGCTCAGGAGAGAAATGAAAACAAAAGCATCAATATTTAATAAAATTCAGTTTCCTTTAAAAATAAGGAAAAGGAAAAGGAAAACTTTCTTCTAGCTGGGCCAGTCAAATGCCCAAACAATTATGATGGGATGGGATAAGGCATTCAGCATGGATAAAATTACAGTGTCTCAAATGTCAGACTGCTCTGGGAACTGGACACAGATCCAGATGGGTGGGATTTGAGGTGCAAAGAATTGAGGATGGATCAGAACATGCATTAGTTTTGCACAAAGACTATATACCTCTGAGGCAAATTCCTTGAAATGGTTAGCAAATGCTTTCCAAATAAAAGAATTCATGGTTTGTGGATTGTCTTGGCTCCAAGTCACATCCTCCCTCACTTCGAGTTCCCAAAAAGTTAAGCTCTGCATCTACCATATTCCTCCTGCCTGTGTTCTGCTAACTCACCAAGACCATGTGGCTGTTTCCAGTTTCCATCTTGCTTGCATGCAGTCTCACTTTTCCCCCCTTCTACCTGTTTTTCCTCTTGATCTCCCAACAGTTCTCCTTCCCTTCTCTTGGCACAAAGATTTAATTCTCCCATGGGTAGAGTTGGAGAAAACTTGTTGGGCCTGTCCAAATTTGTTTCTTCCCCTCTCTTCTTGGGCCTTGAATTTTGAACTGATTAGGAACCACCACCACCACCACCACCCCTTTTCTGTTGTTGTTGTTCTCCTGCTGCAGGTATATAAAGCAGTCACTAAACCTTTTGCCTGGGTACATATTTGTGTTTAAAGCCATTATGGATATTATATTGCATATTCTTAATTACTCTAAAGCACCAAGAGTCCCATAATTGTGGTGGGTATAAATTTGATAAAGAAATATATTGGTATTATCTTTAGTAATTAAGATAGCATGCTGTATGCAAGAAGAACAGTGTTCTTAACACTCTGAGAGCTGAAATGCAATGTATTTGGAGGACAACTGTAGGACAAAACTGCTAAAAGATGCTAAATGGCTGAATTCGCAAAACGTGCTTAACCAGAGCAATTAAGGGCTTAGCAGCTGCAATTGCAGAAGACACCAAGCTTAGTTAGTGCACTGAAGATATTATTTAGCCAGGTAACAAAGCGCCTGCAAGAAAACAACCAAGTTCAGAGAACCCAAGGACTCCATAGTTGGTTAGTTTGAGTTTGAGTTTGATATGTTTGATTTGCAAAGCTAAACTATTTCTTTCATTTATAGCTCAATCAATGGATTGGGCAAACCCAGAAAATAGGTTGATTCAGAACTATGTTGTGTAAGGCCAACCAATATGGCAGGACCGTGTAGTGATAGGGGCTTTGTTAGAACTTACCACTACTGGAGCTGTTTTGCAGCTGATGAGTCAAGTCATGGCATGGTTGAAATAGAGCGGGCATTGGCAGAACATAGGCAACCCTGCTGGGCTACTACAGAGAAGATTCATGGAGGAATGTAAACCAAGGGGCAGTTGCACAGAGAGCCAGCAGACACCATTCTTTGGGTATTATTGTACCTGGATTTGAACAAGCAACATGTTGTTCCACCTGGCTATAGCAAGATATACTATCCGTCTTCTTTTCCCAGAATAATGGGGTGGGGATGGAAAGATAAATTACCCCTATTGCATTGTTATCTGGAAGCAATGGGGGGATGTTCTATCACTGTGACCTCATTAGCCACCTCCAGGTGTAGGTGGCAGGACAATCCCTGTGGTGAGCACTGTCAGAATTTCCAGCATCCTGCGCTTTTCATATTTTGTAGCTGAATATTTTCCTCCCACATGTTATATACAGCAGCTGTTCCACTGATATAGCAACAGCATATCTCCATCTTCCTGAGTAATGCAAAAATAGCATTGCTTTTACAATATGTCTTTTTAAGTATTCCCGTATGATGATGAGAACAAGGCTAGACAGAAGATGTCAATTAGTAATCCATTTCAATTAATGACATACCACACAGCTTTCTTGTACCAGCCCCAGTCAGCTTTTAAGGATCTTGAACCAAATTCTGCTTAAGTTTGCTCCCCACAGGGTACTTGTTGGTAGCAGACCAAGGAATGTAACCAAAGTGCTTAACCTATTTCCCCCCCAACTCAGCATCCTCCAGATGTGTTGGACAACTACTTCCATCACCCCCACAGCAGCGGATTGCAGTTTATCATTAAAATGCTTCTTCTGAAGAGCCGTCCCTTATAAATCTGGGACTCCTGCTGAATTTTAATTACTTTCTCAAATTTTATTACTAGGGTCACCAAAAAACATTAGGATTCTTTAAAATAAATCTGTAGTTGAGATGCCATGTTAAGTTCTATGTATCTCTAAAGAATATACTCTAATTAACTGCTAGAGACACATATTGATTTATTCTGTCAAATCCAGCCTGAGTTCACCATAAGAAACTGTAATAGAGAGAAAAAAATCTTCCAATTGTCCAAGGGTGTACCACTGTGAAAAATAATTAACTAAAACTTCAAGATGAATTGGTATTAAAAGTGACAGAGTAAATATTGTTTTCCTCTTGTGTTTCATTAGAAGAGATAGCATCAGGATTCTTACTCACAGCTTGTTTTTAAAATGTATTAATAATTTTTGAATATCATATAAAATCAGCAGTGAATTAATATATGTTACTGTGTTAAAATGACTGAAAATTCACTGCTCATTCAATTTCAATTGCAATATTTATATTATCTTTTACTTCTCTATCATTAAAGTTCCTAGAAAAAATTGCATAGTGAGATATACGTATCACTCCACGGTAAGACATTAAATTTAAGAAGGCCAAATTAAAACAGAGGTCTAGAATATACACAGTTTAAACACAAAACGGACAATAAAATTGCCTGAACTTTATATCACACCCATTTTTCAGGCAGTAATTGCCAAAAATATTTTGATAAGGAAGTCTATTCAGGTCTAAATTAATAAATGAACATTTACTTGCAGGTATCTCATCTTTGCTGAAGGTCCTTTAAGCAACTTTCGTTCATCCTTTATCTTTGCCATTTGGTTCATCATGATTTGTTAATAAAGGCCAAAGTTAATATTGTACATATTTAATTAAAGGCCTCTTTGTTGTTAATTACTCTCACCAATGTTTGCAAATGCTTGCGGAGCCCTAACTAGTGTTTTACATAAAGATTAGCTTCATATTGTTAGATAAAATGTCACAGTTTTGCATGGACTTTGACAAGTGGTGGTGAATTCTTCTGATATAATAAAAGCATCCAGCTGCCAGTACCTATTTTGTCCTTACAGATGTTTATTATTATATCTTCACCAAAATATAACGTTGGTCTATCGTGATATATCAGTATTCCATTTCTATGGCAGTAGAATCCATAAACCAGTATTATTTTAAATCATCAGAACTACAGAAGCATGCATGAGTGTGACTGGCATGTGTCAATCAGTGAAACAATATGACTGTCGCTCCTCAAAAATCAAAGCATCTCTTAACAGAGAAAACAAGATGGATTAAGACAGACTGCTGTGGCAATATTTTATTTTCAAGTGTATTGTCATTGTCCACAACCTGCTCAAATAAAAGAGAACTGCAATAGTACAAACCTAAGCCTAAAATAAAACGTGAGCTCATCAAATGATAACAGAAAATCCTTCTTTGATCAACCATTAATGTACTGGCATACAAGTATTATGAGATTCTGCTGCCCTTCGTGGCATTTATGGAAAGAAGGGCATTGTGTAAACAAAACGGGGCCATCCATTTATATTGTGGCAATATCATTTACCAATCGTTTTTTGACCTGAAAGGAAAAGTAGTATTTTTTTAAAAAAATTACCTTTCGAATGGGAAGGACATCTTAGGTCCTCTGAGAATATAGTAATGAAGTGCATATTTTTTTTGACTAATCTTCCTTCTTTGTGGGGGGATCCAGCAGTTTCTGTGGAGGTGGGGTCAGAATCTGCAAGATGGCAAGCATTTCATCAGGATCCAAGCCCTGCCCCTTTTGTATGTGTGTCAGCAGGGTGGGACTTGGATCGTCATACTGTGCATGCCATCTTGCAGGACTTGGTCACCCTCCAGGGATACCTGATTGGAAGGGGGGTACAATTAGCTTAAATTCAGGATTATCTTTCAGGTAAAGACGGTACCTTAATGAACCAATAGTGAATGGATGCAAATGGATCTCAAACTGCAAATTACAGATGCTCCAATATGGATCTTATTCACACGGGCCTGGGTACCACACTTTCCTAAGGTTTACTTGTCCCGCCCTGTTTTAAGTTCAACCCATGTGAGCCCTCTCTAATCATTCGTCAAGAGGCTAGCAGGGCTACTGTTCAACCCTGCCCCACCTTGGTCTTCTCAGGTTGCCAGAACAGGTCTGCTGTGAATATCCAGCTGCATGAGGAACCTTCATCATACTTCCCAGGTCCTGCCAGATGACACTCCCTAATAGATAACTATCCTTGTATCCATTTCATTCGTGCATTTTTGTTCTTTAAATTTCTCACATCTGTTTTTCAGGATCCCATCAACTCTATGAAGCTACAACTTTCTCACTCTACCCTTCCCCTCCCTCATCTTCCATGTATTTGTTGTGCAATTCAAACCTCATTTGTTCTTTCTAATGATGAAACTGCCACAGCATGCTTCTTTCATACTGGTCCCTCACTTTTGCATTCAGTCCACATACATTCTGCAATCATTCATTCTTGATCCTTTCTGTTCCTGTCTTACCGCACACGCTTCTTAAAGCACCCCATTCACACTTCATTCAACTTATTTTTATGCTTCCCTTGACATATCCAACTCGCATTAAGAAGCCAGTTCTTATACACAGCCATTTTCCTTCTTTCAGTGAACATTAGTTTCATGGCATAGACCACATATTACACACTACCTTTCTATCAGCATTGGCATGTTTTAAGATTTCTCACTCTATTTTCCTATCTTTAGTAACCATTTTGCCTAGGTAAGCATAAAAGTTTTCACCATTTAT